TGGCCAATTTTCACCAAGATGTTTCTGTGCAATTTCTGCTATTTGGCTGGTGCCTGAAAAGCCCCATCTCAATGCAGCAGGCAGAAAACTCGATGTCTGCTGTGTACAGAGCTCCAGAAATGCTTGTGGCCATCCTGAGAGAAGGAAAATAAAAGGGAACCTCGCTGGCATTCTGTAGGTACAAAACTCAAAACAAACAACTACTGGTCTGAGGTTGGGGCTTGAGGCTCGTATCCATGTCTTTGGGGGATTCAAACACAGAAGTTTGTTTTCTTCCCCATATATAGCATTCATATACCATATATGCAGATTGTAGAACCATTCACATACTACACATGTACTATTCTCAGTATGAGCATGGTAATTGTCACTGTAAAATATAATTTTTGTCTATTTCTCCCAGTACCTGCTAGAAGCTGAGTATACATTTCTTTATCTCCCTAAATTTCCATCCGTGTCAGTTTTAGTCACTGTGGTTTTGCTTCACTTTGTCTTGCTTCAGATTACACATCATGCCTGGCAGTGGAGGAAGAGTGGATTTTGAGATTTTTTACGTGTCAGATTTCCCTGTATCCAATTTTATCAAAAAGCTGTCACCAACTTCTTCTGAAACCAGCAAACCTTTTTCTTTCTAATTACATTTTTACCATATGTTCATCCAGATGGCATATGCCAAACATTTTCTAGGGTGCTATAAAATGACCTGACTTTAGAGGATTTAACTGCTGAAGAAGCTTATGAAAAAAATAGAATTGACACTGGGGCAGAAAAATAGTCCTAGAAAGAAAGAAAGAAATCTGATAAATCTTCCCACTTGTATTTTGTGCCTGTGACAGTGAATGCTCAAGCTACACATCTGCATGAAAACAGTGAAAATGTAGGGAATATTTTATTGAAATGTTAAAAGTTGACTCCTTTTTGAAGAGCCAAAAATAAAACTTTTGTCTGTTGAATATATCTAAAAAGAACTCTGGAGCTGCGAGCAACTCTGGTTTCCTGCAGAATGGAGCAAAAAAGAGTTTGTCAAGCCACTAGATTCTTTGTAAGAGCGGCATTTTTACTTAGCAATGTGATAACTTCTTGGGCACTTTTTTTGTGAAATGTCATTTCTAAGTAGAAGACAGATACAGTTGACACTCCTGTGTCCTAGTTCTTAATAATTCTTGTGGGATTTATTGGAGAAAATAATTTAACTTGAGATGTACTAAGACATTCCAGAAACTTGAGAGAAAGAAGGAAAGGAGGAGATTATTCTTCATATTTAGCTACTAGTTAGGATAAACAAATGAAAGCAAATTTTTCATCTTCTGGAGAGTTTGTGTATGTGTTCTCCCCTATGACAGTCTCCTTTTAACTGTCATAGTTGTTTTGATAGTCTTTCCAGATTATCAAGGGAAGAACTATAAAATACCTTCATGTTATTGCTAGTTCCCATAATACTGTCTCAAGTCTGAAGCCTTTTTACTTACAGCTAATTCCTGAAGACAGGTGATTGAGTGAGAATCAAATCTACTTTCTTTTGTTGCAGTAGCTTCTACAACTTCCAGTTGCAAAGGAAATTTTGAGTGCACAATCTGAGCCTCTTAATAGAGTATGAACCAAGATCGAGTTTCAGGGCAGGATGGGCAGAGTCCCGTAGTGTCAGGGATTCAGATGGAGAATTGTAAATGAAGGTTTATTCAGTGTCTTTAACTCACATAGTTTTTTTTGAAAATCACAACTGCAATCAGCAAAGCAGATCCTCCACCTCCTCCATGTTAATGAGGCCAAATTTTAACAGTGCTCAACAATTTGAAGTGGCTGTGTTGTTTCTGAATTAAACCTTTGATAAGAAGTCCTTATCCCCATCCTCCCCACCCACTTCCACTTATCAGCCCATGAGCAGTTTGACATTTCCACAGACTCTTCTCCATTGTTGACCCAGGATTACGCCTGCTGTGTCTCAAGTCAAAACTATTTTGTAGTTAAATCAATCTGTATGTTAGAGACACTGTAACTATGTAAAACCCTCAAAATTGAGAATTGTTGTTAACCTTTTAAGTAATTGAAACAACCTGTAATATGGTAATACAAAATGAAACACCAAAATGCAGCCTGTCTCCACATTGTCATGACATGATGCAACAGACATTTGATTATGCTTAAGTCATTTTAGTGTTTGTGGGCGTGCAGCTCTGTTAAACTCACCTTAAGGCATCAGCTTTCCTGCTCTTTTTTTGGATGTAATTGCAGAATGCAGCTGAAGTTGTTTGGGTGCCTTTGTTATGTATTTCCAAAATAATGTTTATCATAACCAGAGTTCATGTATTCATGCCGTAGTTTTTGGTTTCCCAGAAGAGTTGGACTCCTAATCATTTCCTTGTGGAAATGCAAACTCCTACATAACAAATTCCAGCTCGCTGAGGACAGGCTTTTCTTAGCTGCCATAGACAAACCTCTCAGAATTAGTCCTATGTGTCAGGGAATGACATGTCAAAATCCAAAGGCTGAAAGAGCATTGGATTTGGATACTTTGCTTTTAATTACTGATATGCATTATTACATCAAGCTCTCATTTTAATTACGGTCATCGTTTAGATATTCCTTGCGTTATTCAGCATGTAATTTGAATGAGGAAAATACTAAGAAGGTTTCCATAGAAAGTTAATCATTATGAAGCTAATGATCTGAAGATTCGAAGTGCCAGTCTTAAACCATACCTCCGACTTTCCTGAGCGTGAGTTCAGGCACGTGCCTGTTAACGTTAGGTTCCCCACGATGTCCTGGGCAGCTGAATTGTGCTTGCACGTGTTGGCTGCCTTGTTGCAGCTCATTAGTGTTCCTCAAGGTACTCTTTCCTGATTGTCTTCCTCCTTCATTCACTGTAGGCCCCTTTGGGAATGAGTGTGCACACCGATTTCATGCCACCCTGCAAGGCCTCCTTTCTAATCCGAGTGTCTGTACGTGCACGCTCAGATGCCTTCTCTTGTTTCCCCTGCTACCCTCTCCTTTGAGTAGCGTAGTTGTCACAGAGATCTTTCGAGGACAAATACTTGGAATTACACTTTTGCGATGATTTTCTATGGCTGGTAGTTTATCTCTTGGAAGAGGCTGATAGAGAATTTCTTGAACAGAGATTTTATATAAGAATTACTCTCCTTAATAATGGCAGCTGTCTCCCACTGCTCACAATAAGAGTACATCAGAGAATATAGCCTTTTGTAAAGAGGAGACTCATCTCAGTCATTGAAAATGGTAGGAAATAAGTATCTCTCTTTGAAAAGTGATCTAAGGGCAGCTTGTGTTTGTGTATGTGGAAAGAACAGCTCATACTTAGAATCCTAGCCTTTTTTATTTTCTTCCATTTTACCTTCAGAAAAATAAATCTTTGGGCATAATCCAAGCACAGTACCATCCAAACATTTTTTACTGCATCTGAAGCAAATGGGAAGTTTGCAGTGCTGCTGTTATTCTTATGTTTGTTTCACTGTTTCAGCGGTGCTCTGTGTAAGGTTCCCCAAGGTGGCTGTTTTGAGCCCAAGTTTCTTAGATGCTGGTTTAGAACCCTTAGCATAGTGATTCTTCAGGAGTCAGTATTTTCCATAGCTGAGATGGGGATCAAATACATCCAATTAATGCAAAATTCAAATTAGTTCTTGAACTATGTTACTACAACTGGCATCTCAGTAATGGACTAGCCACAGGAGGAAGCAGGTTTGTCAACGTACCGTCACACAAAGCTTTGAGTATTCATCTAATCTCTTCTGGGATCATATTCATACATCTTGCTGCTCTCTTGAAATACACTTCCAACGTACTGAATGATACAGGAATATCTGATGCAGCAAGCTGTGGAAGCGTGAGATGCAGAGCCTTTTTAGTTGATATATTTGAAGGTGGATAACCTTAAAAATCAATAAAACCTGCTGCGCCACTCAGAATCATGATGGACTGTTCTTCGCTGATCCTCTTGCTTAGGCTTTGAATAACTGATGCTGTGCGGCGACAGAACCTCGATACAAGCCGATGCGACGGCTGGAGCGAGGCATCCACTAGCGGAGCGGCTCTTTTGTGCAAATCTCCATGTTTGCTCTTGGAATTTGTTACCTGAAGTGCCACTGTTGGTGGGGTTTACTGGGGGTTGTTTGGGGTTTTTTTTCTTCATGATTTAGTTTTCAAACCAGACTCCACAAGCGGTTGAAGACAGAGGGTGTGAAATGGCAGGAAAGTAGTTCTCAGAGGCTTGAGCAGTATTTTCAAGTTGCTTGTAAACATGGCGTTTCCTCTTTGGAGGCAGCATCAGCTCATAGTACCCCCAGTACAGAAATGGAGACAGCTCATAGGAAGAAATTATTAAATAGAACATTTTAATTTTGTGGAAGTTTGGTACAGCCGTCACCTGAAAGAGGTGACATGCAGAGTTTTCTATTCTCTACCAAAGTTCACAAGTTGAAATAGATTGTTTTTGAAATACTAGTGACACATCAGAAGGTGTCCCATTTGAAAGACAAAATCTTTGAATATGTACAAGCCCAAATCGTAAAAAGGAGTTGATGGGGAGGAGGGTGGCTGGGAGGTCTTGAGGATAGATTTCATGAAGAGTCTGCATAAAAATCTCTGGATTTTCTAAAAGTTTGTTTGAATAAACATAATAGAAAATTATCTGAAATTAATTGACAAAAAATGAAGGAACGGGATGAGAAGGAGAATGAAGTGTCAGATGGGATGCTCTGACTAGTAAAAGCAAAAAATTTTTATTTGCTGACATCACCTTATGCAGATACTAGGAGAGCACAGAAATATTCTCTCCCTCCTGTTTTCATAAGGAAGTAGCTTCTGCTCCCTCCAGTCACCTGCATAAAAAGACAGCATGTTACTCTTAGGCTGACTGAATCTAGTGGTAGGAATATAGAGTTTCTTTGAAGAAAAGCCCTAGAAAAATCCAGTCACAGGAATAAACTCCCACTGAGACTTCACGGAGATTTTGCTGCTCTTCTGTGGATCAGTAATAGAAGCAGACCATGGAGAGAATGGAAATTGATGTCATGCCCAAGCTGTATGTGTTGGGGAAAGATTGATGCTGAAAACAGATCTTTGAATGATGCCTTTCTCCTTATGGACCACCTGCCTGGAGTTCTTCAGGGAATTGTATGTGAAGGTGGAAAAGGGACGGGTGGTGAGATCAACAATTCTGGTTGCTTGGGACATCCCCTAACTCTCAGTTACAGCATGTTCTGTGTAAGATTATCAAGGAAAGGGGAAAATTGCTTGATTTTTCTATTGTTGATTATTTATGAGCAGACTAACTTTCAAGCTGATGATGCTGCCTGCTGCTGTAGGGATACCTGCCTCTCCGACGGCCTTGCGACGTCCTTTGGTTGGGCACCTGGCTGTTACCTTTCTTAGCACAGGAGCCTGTGCCCTCCCTGCAAACAGGCTTGGGACTTGGTTCCTTTTGCCTAGTGTGTTTATCCAGCATGAGCTGGAGTCAGTTCAGAATCTGCATATTTACAGTCTCTTGAAGATAAAAAGTTAACTCTTGGCCAGGCAGGTTTAAAACAAACACCATCTGAGCTCTGTCAAGACTGCAGTAACCTGATGCCATGAGCTGTAGTCTGTCTTCATGCTAAGCTGACCAGGCATTGCTTGTCGCCTGCAGTGGTGACTCGGTTTCCTGAAGCATATGAGTGCAATGAATGGTATTTGGAAGGGTATGACACTGGAGTGGTCTGTCTGTGTAATCGCCACAGGGAATTGGCAGCTGTGGTTCAGCGTGGAGCTCCAGCCATTGGGTGGGAAACACAAAGCATGTTCCAGTGCAGTCTGCATACAGTCACATTTCAGTGTTTATTAATGTTAATTTGGAGTCTCTGTGCTTTTGAACTATGACCTTTTTCATGGATATGTCATGTTGGGTACCTTTCAGCCTTTTTATTTTCTGCTTGAAAAATCAACATCTTTCCCTCCAGCCATGAGAATGTTTTCTTCTAGGTATAACAAGTAAGCTTTGTCATAACATTGTAGTTTAAAGTATTTTAATAATTGCTGATAATTTTTTTTTTTTTTTTTTCCCTGGAAGAGTTTGGAGTGGCTTTGGGGCGTTTACCTGAGTAGTAAACATAGAGCTGTTACTTGTGCCGTAGATATTCTGTTTGAGAGGACTCGGCTCAGAAACTTGCTCAACATTTCAGCAAACCAAATTTAAATGTGTCTCACCTCTTCTTGCAAAAGGCTGACAGCCTCTAATTGCTATGTTTTACGTTATGAGTAGGTCAGTCTATTATTTTTCCCTTCAAAAAAAATGAAGGATGAAAAATTCAAGCATAGATGACAAAAGCTTTATTGTTGGGTTATTTTTCTTTCATCTATGGGATATCTTTAAATGCACGCTGTCAAAGAGAGGCATCTTTATAGGTTGATACTATTGATTAGTATTTGAGACCTGCCAGCAGAATAATTACTTTATCTATAAAAAAATCTAATAGAAAATTATTAAGTTGATGCTTTTGTTCCTATAGTGAGAGCATTTCAGGTATTCATCTCATATCGTTGCAGAAATTGCTTGGCTCAAGTAGATACCATAAAATCATGTTTTAATGATTTTTTTCCTTTTTCCATCTTTTATTTTTTTTTCACAGTCACATGACACAATCAGCCACATTTGAAGACCCTCGAATAGAGAGCGGCCAAATAACCCCTCCAGCCCCTCGGAAAGTGGAAATGAGGAGGGATCCTGTGCTAGGATTTGGGTTTGTGGCTGGTAGTGAAAAGCCAGTTGTTGTACGCTCAGTAACACCAGGTATGTTTTCCCCACCTGACCCCAAAAGCAAACTTGAACTTAATCTACTGAGACGAAGTACAGTTACAAACTTGAGTACTGTTAAAATATTCAGGCAGACAAAGTAATCACAAATACTAGGTATTATTTTAAGCCTCGTATTCCTGAGTAGTTTCCCTCCTCGCACTCATTTTTGAACTTTATGTAAATGTGTTAAAAAAAAGCCGGTTCTAGGTTATTGCTCTGAGCCATTACTATTGTTTGCCTGAAAAAAGTTGACCCACTTCATTCAAGGAAAGGAGGTCTTCTCCCTGTTATGTTTAATACTGCTTTGATGTCACCTTCATTGCCATTGAATCGGTGCTTTCAAGAAGTACGTTGAGTTGCGAGATTCAAACTTACATATTTTTCATTCTTTTTATCATCAGCTTCCCAAGGAGAAAACAGGTTTCAAACTATAATATTTGGTGTTGAAAAAGGGGTGTTATTGCTGGCTTTTTTTTTTTTTAATGAATATTCTGTATGTGTATATATATATATAGCAAAAAGCCAGGTCAAAATAGAAGCCTAAACATCTTACCTGGAGTGCAAATTAGTTAGGCTTGTGGTGGTTTTGAACTTACATGTGACCAGACCTGGGACCACTCAGTCTCCCAAATAGTGGGCTCTTGCTCCCTATGCTTAAAAGTTCAGTTGTTATGTAAAATTGCCTTGGAGTCAAGGACAGCGATTTGACTTTGCTCTTGTTCGATATGTTCTCCAGACGCCCCGCAGAGAGCAGAGGAGAGGCAAAATCGACTTTGTGATGTTGTGATGTCATTTACCCACGTGTGTGCATTGATTATATTTGTATTGCTTTCAGATTAAATGAGCAGTGTAACTAATATTTGAACTAGATCCAGGCAGTTCTTTTTTCCCAACTTAGCATTATTCATGTAGTTTTATGCTAAAGTTCAGTTTGGAAAAGGTGTTTATTTTATTCTGTTCCAAATGAACAGGAGGACAGATGAGCTCAGGACAGAATTCTCCTGCATGGATTTGTATCCATTTATTCTGGATGTGTAAGTGAATTTTTTAAATGAGAGGAAAGGAAAAACATTAGCTCAGTTGTTAAATGAATTGGTTTTGATACTGCAACATTTTCTTTTAAGACTTTATCTTCACGTTGGTATTATTATTGGGGTTTTTTATGTATCATCATTACAGAGTTGAAAGACAGAAGACTGGAGAGGCTATATCTTTTAACTCACAGTTGTGATGTCACACCCTCTTCTGGGCATATAATCGTGCTGAGAAGCGAAGTATTAAGTGCATTTTATAAGGCACAAACATAATATACATTTCGGCAGTGTCAGAATCCAAAGCACGTACATGTCTGATTGTCCGTTCAGACTAATGGTAAATATCTGCCTTTAACTGAAAGTGGGAATGCTTTTGGATGTAGTGCCAAGTGGTAGTAATCTAGAGGAAAGGAGTCTCAAAGACTGAAGATATAGGAACTTACTGTTCTCAGACTCAAGGAAACATGTTTGTTTTGCCCAGAATGGAAAAGTCAGATACCTGTGAACGACTTTCAAATACGTAAGTGACGTTTCATAGGAAGGAAGAATAAGATGTTCTCCAGAGTTAGTTTGCCTAGGACAGGAAACAAAGTGTTGCAACAAGGAGCATCTGGCATAAACACCAGGGAAAAAGACTTCTAGATCTTAACAGCAGCTAAACAGGATCATTTATTTACAGGAAAAGGAGTTGTCCTCATGGTGGTCTTACAAGAGTATTAGACAAACATAGGGACAGGTAAGGTATGGTTGATCACACCGTAAAGGGTGAATTAGACCACCTCCTGTGAGTCTTTTTGGCCCTTCAGAAAATCAAGCCTTTATTTTTAGGTGCCTAAATGTGGGTTTGGATCTTAACTTGAGGAACTTCCATAGGAACTTCTAAGCCACTAACTTTCAAGATTTTCCTGATGGGAAGTACTGGTAGTATCAGAAATAGTGTTAGCGTTACATATGCCATTAGTTGAAGGAAAAAACCACTCATAGTATGTGAACGGTAGAGTGTGTCTGTGCATTTACAATGGTCTGCTAACTTGTGCTTTTTTTTCATTTGTCTCCAGGCGGCCCCTCTGAAGGAAAGCTTATACCAGGGGATCAGATCATCATGATTAATGATGAGCCAGTCAGCACTGCTCCAAGAGAGAGAGTCATCGACCTTGTCAGGTAGTTGATGTCCTGTCACTTGAAGTATGAACCTGGTGGCTTATTGCCTGTGCAGTCATTTGATAATACAGCAGGTCTTGCCTTCTTATGGATGAGAAAAGAGAAAATAATGTTACTTTAGTCATAATGAAGAATGGTGGAGTATTTTAGTATTGAAATGAAGTGTCCCCTTAAATGTCCTCCGGGTAGCTGAAAAAATATAATAAGATACTGGAACAGCTCCAGAATACTTGGGTATCAGAAGAGGGATCTCCTGATACTTATTTTTGGTATAGGTTGTTGAAAAAATAATTCCTGGAGCAAGGCAGCTCCAGTCACTGTTGTTCTATTGCTTTTTTCACATGAAGAAAGTGAAAGGTTTGTCTTATAGGAGGAGGAAAGAAAATGTGGTGGGGTGATTTATGAGAGCGGATGGGTGCACAAAAGTGGGAGTTTAGGGAAACTCAAAGAGTATTTAGGTGGGTTGCAGGTAGGTGAGTTTTTGTGAAGAGAAGGTAAGGGTGTGTAGATAGGAGGCAGAAAACAAGACAAAAAGATGACTGTGGAGAATGCAGGAAAGGAAAAATGTCAGTATTTAATGGGATGTGGAAGGAAAGAAAGAACAGGGACTGACAGATGCTCAGGATGTAGAAAAGAAGGTGGCATGGCTTGACATAAGTTTTGCATTTGGAGCAACAAGAAATGTTAGTGCATTGCCTAGAAAAATGAGTAGTAGTTAAAAAATAAAATGTAAAATTTATTTTAGATTCCAGTAGCCTGGTTGCTGGACACTGGTTTTGTTTCTGTGTTTTCCTTCATCTATAAACTCTGAATTGGTGAGTCTAGTTGATTCCTGGGAGACGCTCAAGTTTTAATTGTGCGGGTACCTAGAACTGTAGCTCTCAGTGTTAGCCATGTCATATTTGCTTTCACAGATTTGGGCAGGAGGTGCTGTCATAGCTGTACTCCTCTTGCAAGTCACAATTTGAGCCAATGGGTGCTCGTTGGCTGGGATTCAGCTGGGAAGCAAACTGCCAGAGGAGATAGGGAAACAGTATAAAGATGCCAGCAGCACACTGATGTGTTTATCTGTGTTAGGTGGGTTGGGACAAAATACATTACATATTCAGATTTAAGAAAAAAAAAAAAGTTGACCTGCAAGTTGACTAACAGAAACATAGCACAGAAAGAGGAGACTTCGACACTCTTGGGTTTTGTTACAAAGAGACCCCATGAACTGTAGGAACTGTCCTGAAATAAATTTCTGTCCTATGATCTTTATTGGCCACCAGCATAAGCCTCACAAATGGGTCTTAAACTCATTTCTAATGTCTTTACTTCTTCATAAAGCATTCATATTGCAGTCTTCATCCTTTCCCTGATTCTTTGATATGTTAGTAATCAGAATTAGGATCTCTATCTCATTTCTCTGCTGCCAGCAATATGTAGTAATGACAACAAGGAAAATAGACTGATTAGGCCTGAAACAAACTGGGTTTATTGTGTGGCTGTTCCTCTGTCTGCCTTCAAATGAGAAACTGAGTAAGAATGTCACCCTTCCCAATTATGTTGACACCATAGGTAGTGTCTTAAATTAAGCATTTTTGCATTCCAGGGGAAGCTTTTGGTGACACTTTTCTTACTCTGTAATTCTACCCCTGCTTTCAAAATCTATTTGCCATTGGGATTTTGACAGAGACTTACTCTTTAATAAGACTCAGAATGAAATGTGTTGGGGTTGTATATTACAGCATTTGAAATGAAGAGCTCTCTTTTCATGCCAGTGGGGACATCTGGAATGATTAGACACTGTCACTGTACAGTCCTGACACCGTAGCAAAAGCAATTCTTTACACCAATGAAATACAAAGTCCCTTCTGTATAGTAGAAGGTTTTCATATGGGTTAGAGACATTGCCACTTTGAAAATATTTGCTTTGAGTTTTCAGTGTGCATCAAAGCACTTTCAAATCTTGTTTTCCAACTGGTAGCAGTGTATCTGTGGTCAGCAATGAGTATGTTTTAGATGCATAGACTGGGCAACAGGCAAAATTGCAAAATCGTAGAGGCGCTGACAAGGAGTTTCTGGAGGTCATCCAGTCCAACCTCTTGCTCAAAACAAGCTAGTGTCAAAGTTGGATTTGGCTGCCCAGCACTTCTCAGGTCAAGTTTTGAGTATCTCCGAAGATGGAGATTTTGCAACCACACTGGGCAGATATTTCAGTTCTTAACCTTTCACCTTTCAAAGATGATAGAGAGCAGCTTTTACAAGACATGAGCCAACTCCCTTGGCAGCCTTAGATTCATCCCATCTAGACCCATGGACTTGTGAGTGTCCCACTTGCCTAAACAATTCCTACTTCAGTCTTTGTCTGCCATGCATAGTACCTCTGTTCCCTAAATTCTACCACTAAGCGCAGGGACCAGGGTGGCAGACTTTGCCACTAAAGACCAAAGCCAGGAAAGCATTGAGTTCCTCAAGCCTTTTCAGAGTCCTTCTTCAGGTTGCCCACTCCCTTTAGCAGCAAGATTATATTTCCCATGGCTTTCAGTGCTGATGCACCTGTAGAGCCCTTCTTGTTACCCTTCACATCCTGTACCAGTTTCAGTGCCAGCTGAGCTTTGCAAACTCTACCCCTTCCTGGCCAGGCAGGGCTTCTTTGTTCCTATTGGGGAACCTCTCTCCATTTCCATCTTTGTCTGGCTTCTGTTTTTGCTGGATCTCAGTCAGGTGTTCCCTGTGGAGCCACACTGGTGTCCTGCTGTGCCTGCCCACTTCCTTGCAGATTGGAGTAGACCATTCCGGTATTTGGAGGGAGTGAAAATCACCCAGCTCTACATGGCTCTGGCCTTCCAGAGCTGCATCCCACAGGAGCCTGCCCAACAGTGCCCTGGACAGGCTGAAGTCTGCTCTTTAGCATGGACTCCACTTCCTCCTTTCCCTCAGGAACTCACACTGTACCATCTCATGGTGACTGCTGAAAATCAATGAAAAATTCATATTTTCATACTGTATTTTTTCTGTGATTGCATGTTTTTCTGCTGATTATGTATAACACAGTATATATGATATTCATGATGTGAAATTCTGTGGCTATTTTTATGCAGCTATCTCTCACAGCTTTTTGTAAAGTCAAAAAATAATTTGTCTTTATAATTGTAGTGAGTGTGGAAAAAAATAATCTACTTTCAAAATACAGACATAAAGATCATAATATGTCAAACAACTGCATGAGAAAAAAAACCCCATCAGATTTCATAACTGGATGAGCATCATGCTTTAACAAGCTCAGCTAGACTCAAAACTTCCAAGCAAAATATACACAAAGGCTAAGGCAACCTTAAACATTAAACATTATTTTTAGTGTAATGCAATATTTAATTGTTTTTCAAGAAAATGTTGTTGCAACATTTACTTACAGAAAGAATCACAAAAATGGTTTGGGCTGAAAGGGACCTTAAAGACCATCCAGTTCCAACCCCCCTGCCATGGGCAGGGACACCTTCCACTAGACCAGGTTGCTCAAAGCCTCATCCAGCCTGGCCTTGAACACTTCCAGGGATGGGGCATCCACAGCTTCTCTGGGCAACCTGTTCCAGTGCCTCACCACCCTCTCCGGGAAGAACTTCTTCCTGATATCCAATCTAAACCTCCCCACTTTCAATTTAAACCCGTTACCCCTCGTCCTGTCACTACAGGCCCTTGTAAAAAGTCCCCCCCAGCTTCCTTGTAGGCCCCTTCAGGTACTGGAAGGTGCTATAAGGTCTCCCCGGAGCCTTCTCTTCTCCAGGCTGAACAAGCCCAACTCTCTCAGCCTGTCCCCATAGCAGAGGTGCTCCTGCCCTCTGAGTGTCTTTGTGGCCCTTCTCTGGACTCACCCCAACTGATCAATATCCTTTTCATGTTGGGAGCCCCAGAGCTGGATGCAGTACTCCAGGTGTGGTCTCACAAAATTGGCATAGACGGGGAGAATAACCTCCCTTGAGTTATACAACTGGAACAGAAAATAGAAAAGAGAATTTCTGGCACTATCTATCTTAGATCCAGAAACTAAAAAAAGTTTCAGAATTTCCACCAAGAAACATATCTGGAAAATATCAAATAAATATTTTTACATTAAGAAAAAGCATGTCTCTAAGCAATAAATTTGCTTTATTTCCGAATTTTCCACAAAATAAGTTGGAGCATTTTTTTTTTCGCATCCTCTCTTTTTCTTCAGCCCTTTTCCAGTCAGCTTCAGATTCATTGTGTACTTTTTACTCCTACACATTAGAAATACGTAGACTGGTCTTTTAGGAAAGTCCCTTTTGGGTAACAGTTTTACTACAGGAAAAGGCATAAAGGGAGCACATAATACAGACATTTTCACATTGTCTCTTTGTTGCAATTTAATATTTTAATTATGTGTGTGCTTTCTAAACATTCATTACTGAAAATAAGCTTCCTTAAGAAGAAAACTGTATTAAAGCCACCTCTGCTGACTCCAGGGAGTACTGAGCAGGAAACAGGTGAAGGATTTTGGTTTAGTTTTTTAAGAATTGAGGTATACAGTTGTTTCCTAGGAGGTCTCAGGTCTGGAGATTATCGGGGATATTCATTATAAATATCCCCTGTGGGTCATTCTTATCCATCTAATTCTTTTGGCTCTGCTCTACTGGCAACATTTAATTAGTGTTCAAGTTGTCCTTTGAAAGCCAAGGTTGCAGAAATATGAATACAGTGTGGTTTACAGACAAAATATGTAAGGACTCATTATTTCTGGGTAGTCTTCAATGGCTTTTGCACCATATTATGTTCTCCTGAGCTATTTTCAAGCACAAACCCAGAAGTCATGTTTATGGTTTTCCTTTCAAAGAGAGGTCACCTTTATGAACATCACTTATGGCTGCAGTCTAGATGTGTTCCATTCAAGACTGAAAGTTATTGAAGTTGGAAAAATAGGAAGAAACAAGCCCAATTTTCTGAATGTATGGTTACAGTCCAGGCAAGGTAGAAAGATGTATTTGAAGTGCAGTTGGTTC